TCAATTAGCATACCAAAAAAAAAAAAAATTGGTTCTCATTGTTTATATAGATCTTCTATACAAAAAATTAAAATTAAAATTTTAGCACACCTCTAGAAAAATTCCTGGTTCCGCCATTGTGTAAAACTCAATAAATTATAAACGTGCAATTTACAACATAAAGTCTTTAATTGAGGCTATAGGTATATAGCCTATAGTTATTACACTTTGGATTGCAATGGAACTATATATACGCAAGTATTAGTGGCTGTCTCTTTAGTACCCTCTCATTGCCACAAGCTCACAACTACTTATATTGAACAGATATGTTATTAGACAGCTTATTGACCATTGATTCAAATTTGTTGCTATTGAGGTGTGGATGAGGGTGAGCTAGCCATCAGAAGGGAATTTGCATGGCCGATAAAAATAAAAAAAAAATTATTGAGCTCACCATTGAAAAACAAAAATCGAATCAATCTCATGAGGCATTTGCGACCTATCCAAACGTGTCAATTGTCTTTTTGTAAATAATTTACCTAAATGTACCTTTTAAAAAAATGAATGTACCTATTATTAAGGGAACATAAATATAAATCCTTAGAATTGAGGATACGAATTTTAGTCAACTTTATTAATTTGAGTGAAACATTTATAGGAATAAATCTTACAGAATGTTGGATTTTGTGGGTAAAGTAGAGAGAGAGAGAGAGATATATATATATATATATATATATATGTATGTATAAAGTTCATTTCGTGTGTAAAGACTTACTAGCTCATTCTAAAGCTTGTAATAATTTAATGATTTGGGGTGCATATATGTATGTTATATGCAGTCTGGTTGTTGTAAGCCACCAACATTATGCAATTACAACGTGGCAACCACTGTGAGTCAAGACCCGGACTGCTACCGGTGGAACAATGCGCCCAATTTGTTATGCTACGAGTGCGATTCATGCAAAGCTGGAGTGCTTGAAGACATCAAAAGAGACTGGCACAAGCTCTCTGTCCTCAACATTGTCATGCTTGTGGTCCTCATTGGAATCTATTCAATTGGGTGCTGTGCTTTCCGGAACACCCAAAGAGCTGAAACGGACCACCCGTATGGTCAGAACCGGATGTCCAAAGTTCGACCCAGATGGGATTACTATTGGTGAGTTACGTGTTGATCAGTAAAATGTTATCTTGTCAGACTGTGAATATGAATTGTTGATTACATTTATTTTGATTTTGGAGTTATAGTATACTCCTCCACCTAACTTATATGCTTTTGATTTTGAAAATTATAAACAAAGAATGTGAAAAATTATGTAACGAGTCCAAAAGAGCCTTTAGTTGGCCAATAAAAAAAAAAGTAAGATAAATTAACCATCAAAGTTAGGCTGAAAAAGGTGAGCGGTAATTCTGAAACTTGGTAAGAGTGGTCTAAAGTGTTTGTCAAGACAGCTTTAGATATATTAAAGCTTTCAATCTCTCTCCCTCTCATTAATGCTTTTTTTCTTAGGTCATAAATATATATCTCTCTCTCTCTCTCTCTCTTTCTCATTGCTTAATGCTAAGCCATGCTTTTTTGGTTACTTTTTTGCAGGTGGAGATGGTGGCATCACAGAAAAGAACAGCTTTATTAGTTGAAGAAACTCTATGTTCTTTCTGTTACTGTGAATCTTGTTCTTAGGTGTGCTCTAAAGATGGGACAATTCAGTTGTTTTTTCAATGTATGGGAATTGGAGGTCTCAAATCCTCTTTTTGGATAGACTTTTAATTTTAATTTTTAAATGTAGTTGGTTTTTTTTTTTTTCTGTACAAAGTTGGATTTACTTTTATTTCAAAGATCATACCACTAGCTTTTTCTTTTTTCTACTTTTCTGTCATATATGGACTTACACAACTTAATCTATGTACTTATAAACAGACCTAACCAAATCTACAGAGATATTACACCTCTAACATAAAAACAAGGATCAATGTAAGATTCCTCTACCTTTGCACATATATAATATATCAAAGACTGAAAATTGGGCCAGCCCCAAAAACCAGATATGTATGTGTGCAGCCAAATTTCAGACTACACATTCATATATATATATATATATATAGCAGATATGCAATTCTTAATTTAAATGATGAAATCTTGATACATTTTATATATGACAGAAAATAACAGTTTTATTAGCTTGAGAGATGGGTGCTCTAAAGAGATGGGACAAACTCAGTTGTATATATAATGTTCTTGCTTTTGGAAATCTCATGGCTTCATTTACTGCTTTCTCTGTACAGAAATGGATGAGATCTAACTACTTTATTTTTTTCAAATAATCATGCTATATTACCAACATACCTTACTGCCGGACTTTTGACTGGTGTAGTTTTTAATACAGAAAGCAATAAAAGCAGAATGAAGTATATATATATATGCAACTTGCTCATAGAGCATAAGTTTGAATTTGAACAGAAATATAGAAGAAAAAGGGCCATGGGTTTGGTCACCGAATATAACTATGCAATGTTAATTAGGTTAACGAGTCTGGCCTTTCTATAAGGAATATTTTTTTTGATAAGACCATTATATGATATGGAATATAAGAAATTTAGTATGGCCTGAAATGCAACAAGGATGATAAATTTTCATCACCAAGCGAAAAAATTTAATCCCATTCAAATAAATCACATAATCACATTCAATCGCGAAAGTTAATGCCAGCTACCCCCTTCCGATTATTCGGGGACATTGAAAGTTGTGGGAAGGACTCATTATCTTCTTAAAGAGCAGTCAGCACCATATGGCCCATACCCTTTGGCATTTGCCTCCTTCTGAGCTCCATGGCAGATGGCACCGTATTGTTTAGCTTTCTAGAATGAGTACCACACATAAGTTCTTTGACATTTCTCAGTCTTTCTGCAGTTCAATTTAGGTACCCTTTAGGTCCTCAAGAAGATTAGTTTTGTCTAGAATATCAAATACCATGAACCATTGCAGGGTCACAATTGGTTGCGTGGAATGAGTATGTATTATCCCCCGTGGACTTCCTGGGATATTTTTTGGTTCATAGACTCTTTCAATCATATCATGTTCTTTAATTGACCCAGAAAGAATAATATTGATTTTTTTCCTTTTATATTTTCTGGCATTGTAAAAATTATGAACTGACAAAGGAGAAATAATACAGTAGTATGGTAGTACCATGTGGTAATTGACATAAGGTGCTACGCTCCATTCAACTTGCGACATTTCTCACAAAGACCCTTTTGAATCTTGTAAATGCCCTTCATTTTCAGTTCAGAACAGGAAAAATCTTAAGCTGTCTGTCCACCACAAGTTCATGTTCTTAAAAATTCATACTCGCAATTGAACGACACTATGAACTAGTAGTGGTCATTTTGACAATGTCCATTTGTCCCATTTCTCATTCCAAAGGATATATTATTGAAAATTATCTCCAAGTTAATTTGCTGATTTGCTTAATTTTGATAAGCTCTTGGCGACAAAGTCGGCATAGAATGACAGAGACTTAGGCTGTTACTTAAAAGTCTTTCATCATAACTGGTCTTAGACAATGTCTTGAATTTCCTGTCCTGCCTTTTCCCTTCATCACACATAATTTCCCTTATAAATAACAAAGAGAAACACATTTATATACATATAATATTTAGATTCACAAGAATATCTTGGTAGCTCTTTTGAGTAGATATTCGAATGGCCGAACTCAGTCAAGAGCGTTCCCTACAGGAAACACCAACATGGGCTGTTGCCGTGGTCTGTTTTGTGTTGCTTGCAGTTTCAATCTGCATTGAACATATCATACACCTCATAGGAAAGGTAAGGCCAGATTGCTTAGTTAACTAATTGGCTTCAAGCTGATTGGCCTCATTCCCATAAAAAAATATTGTTCAGTTAATGATCATGCACGCAACCAAATCCAACGTAGTTGGGATGAAGGCTTTGCTGCTGCCTTCAGTTTATTTGGATTTTCAGTTTATTAAACTGGTGGAGATGAATCTGAGTGCACAAAAATTAGTGTTCTGGGCATTGGCTGCCTGCTTGAATTTACTTTCTTGTCTTTAAACATCAATGTTAATCATTGCACCTGACATTGTTCTTGCACCATTTTCAGTGGTTAACAAGCAAACACAAGAGAGCTCTAGTTGAAGCACTTGAGAAGATTAAATCTGGTACCCCATCATCCAGTCATTTAGTTTTTTTTTTCTTTTGGAATTAAAGCAATTTATGTTTGTTCAAAGCCTAACAATTTGTTTGTTCTCGTTGATTTCTTTGAAGAGCTCATGCTATTGGGATTTCTATCCTTGCTCCTGACTGTGCTGCAAGAACCTATCTCTGGTATATGCATACCAAAAAGTGTTGGAGACTCTTGGCTTCCCTGCAGTAAGGAAGCACAGTTAAAATTGAAAAACAACAAAATTAAAGAGGGTGTACCATGGGTATTTTTGGTAGTTAAATAGGGTGTACTTAATTAATTTTACATTTTTATTTAAACATTAGGGTGTACTTAGATCGTAGGGTGCACTAAGTTAATTTTAGGGTTCGTTTAGCAGCACTCTTTATTAAAGCCGAATTGGAATGTTTACATCAGCAGCAAGAGTGTCAAACAACCACTCAGGCCAAAGTTGATCCCATTTAAACTTCCCACCCACACGAGATACATGCGCCGCTACCAGATGAGCAGTTGCATTGCACCTGCGATTCACAAAAGTAAAAGATACTTGACCCACATGAGAAGCCAGTAACTTAATATCATGAATAATGCCGTCAATAGTAGTATCCGTCTTCATAGTACCATGTAACATCGCAACAAGTTGTTTACAATCTGTCTTCACCATCATCCGAGTTGAGGGACCATGAAAATGATTTTGGAAATTAAGGGACCGAAATACAAATTGGGTGAAATTTGGGACCATTAGACCCAAAAATCCTAACATTGCTTCTCTTTTCTAGCAAAGGCAGCAAAGTAGGGTAGGGGCTTGCTAATTAATTAACTTTTTTTAATAAGAGCCCCACTTGGCAGCTGGCGATTCGAAAAGAAACAAATCTGACCTAATAAAAAAGAAGGGACCTAACCTGGCAGCTGGCGATTCGTATGGTTGTGATGAACCCATTAGGTAATAGGTCCTAACTCCCAAGCCGCAATGCCTAACATAGCCCTAGTGCTGTCGACGTCCCATTGGCCGAAGCAGTTAGGCTTCTGCATCCCACATGTGACACATGGCTAACACCAATTGCACCACTCCACATAATCTCTATCACAATTGGATCCGGTGTGTGGGCCCCGGTGTGCATGAGCCACGTCGGACATTTACGCTTATTTATAAATAAATAAAATCGTCTGCACGTCCCAATTAAACAACTTCTTTCAGTTAAAAAAAAATTAAACAAATGTTTTTTTGGTTGGATCCCATAAAACAACTTAAAGGCGGAGAAAATGACTTCGAAGCACCGTGAACTATAGCTTTATTTTTTTTCAGTGGAAGTCGTAGTCTTTGTGTGAAATGTTTTTCCAGAGAAGAAGAGCTGAGCCTGCGACTGCTTTCCTCTCGGGAAATAATTATGGGTATTTTTTTTTTCCTCTCTTTCTCTTATTTAGGATTTTTAAGTTTCTAAATGTAAAATGTATATTTGGAGGGTTTTTTATTATATATATAATGGGAATATTTTTTAAGTGTTTTCTTTCAGTTTGGATCGCCTAAGACGAATTGAGCTTGTTGTTTACCCAGGGTAACAATGACGGGTATTTTTTTTCTTTCGTTTCCCTATGTTTGGAAAATCTTTGTCTTTGAATTCGTGTTCACTTAGATTTCTTTTTTGTTCTTGTTCCGAAGTTTTCTGGGCTTTAAACTTTTCGATTTATTATTAGCTTATCAATTGATTGGGGTTCTTGTTAGTGATTCTTCTTTGGATTTAACTTTTTCTTCGATTTTATTGGTTACATAGCTTTTTATTTATTGCAAACCACAACCCAGACTAATCCCTACTCACACCGAGTCGGCCCGTAAGGGGTAAAGTGTTGGCCAAAGTGGTGACTCCGTACGAGAGATTACATAGCTTTTTATTTATTGCAAAACAAATTTTTTGTTGACCTTTAAACTGTTTGGTGTTTTATGTTTAAGCTAAATAGTTGGCACTGTCGTACATCGTACTTTATTTGGCTAATTTCTTTTGTTAATTTTTTTTTAGTACAAGCGATAGTCTAAATTAATGAGAGGAGAATTTCTCACACACACACAACTATGATGGTGTAGGTATTCGAACTTGAGACCTCTTGTTTATAAGTCAATGCCCTTTTTCACTTAACCCGTTGGCAATTATTTTTGTTAATTGAGGAGATAAAAGGTGACTTTTTTTTTTGCAAGTGCTTTATGTTGTGTATAAATTGCAGTGAAAAAGTTTTGTAGTGTTGATAAAGTATAAATTTTTTTTATGAAAAGGGTTCTATATTCAATGATAATAATTTGATGCAAGTACTATAATAAAAGTATAAATTGACAACAACTAAAAAGCAAGTGTATGAACTGTTTAAACAAACTAAAAAAAGGTCAATTCAAGTCTAAATGATCACAAGTGTGAATATCGTGGCAGCAACATCAAAGAGGTTTTGAAGTTGAGATTCGGAGGAAATTAGTGAAGTAGAAGAGAAACCAAATGGAGAAAGCTTGTGAGTTGTGCTTAGAGCTAAGGCCAGTTGTGTACTGCAAAGCTGATTCAGCACATCTGTGCCTTCCCTGCGATGCAAAGGTTCATTCTGCTAACCCAATTGTTGGCTACCATCACCGAACCCTTCTATGTGATTCGTGCAAATACCGGTCGGCGGATATCCAGTGTTTGGATCACCGGATGTTTATGTGCCGTGTATGTGACGTGAGCCTGCACAGGAAGTGCTCTCCCCATGGCCAGCATCGGAAACGGACGTTGGTCAGCAGTTTCACAGGTTGCCCATCTGCCAAGGACTTTGCAGCATTTTGGGGTTTCAAATTGGATGAATCTGATGGAGTGGGATCAAACAGTCAAAGATTTAAGAAGGTCGAGATCAGAAGGAAAAAAAAGCAGAAAAATACTTGAGTAATTGTAATTACACTGATTAAAAGTGTGTGCATGATCATAACTTCTTATAAGTTATAAGAGATGTGTATTATAAATATATCTTGCAGATATCTCATGGTCATGGTCATGGAGGTCACTATCAGAAAAGAAGTACTGGCAATAGTTTGATTCTGGACCAGATTCTTGACTTGAAAAGGCTTCAGCTGAGTCAAGATCAACCAAATCAAGAGAAATCTTCTTCAGTGCATGAACATCAAAACCCTTCAAGGAGGTTGGAACATAGTCTTGATCATCATCATTTACAACATTCCCAGGATGATCTCGGCCGCATTGGATCTCAGCAAAGGGACAGCTGTCTACCTGATCAGGGTCTGATGGTCAAATTTGATCCTTTTCCCTTTCCATTTCCTGAACAGCTGGAGCAATATTTTCCATCATCTTCAGGCACTGCAGGATTTCTATTGCATACAGAATCATTTGGGCAGGGTAGAAGCACAGTGCAGAATAGTCCGGTATGAAAATTCCATATGAATGAAGAGTTCCAGTTTTCATTCTGTTATGTATGTGGTCATCTGAATTCTCTATGACTTGATTTTGCAGCTGTGGTCTCAAAATATGCAAGACCTTGGGGTTTGTGAAGAACAAGCTTATGATCATCAAGATCCCAATACACCTGATGTCGATTCGACATTCCGAAACTTCGAGGAATCATTTGGAGGTGATCAGCAAGATGTGTCATACTCCTTCATGGAGAAGAAGGGCCATGCAAGAGCAGCCAAGGTGTGTGTGAATAATGATTTCCATTTTCTTGGTTCTTTTCTTTCTTGATTAAGAAATAAGTTATTGTGGTTGTTATTTTATCACCATGACACTGACTTTTGGTTCCATTTTTCAACAGAGATAAACTTACGAAGGCAATCTCAGCAGTTAGTGAATGAAAGTTCTATATAGAGCTCCAGCAAGTTTGTCATTATTTTAATCATGAGTGTTTTATTATTATTCTTTTATACTATATTATGTTTCGTGTACATAAATACCTCACAGATAAACAATGTTATCTACCTGTGTTAATTACACATAATAAACAATGTTTTCTTCTTAATGTAATTTTATTTTGCTATTTGTGTAGCCCCATTGACCTTAACAGTGTTAGGGTGATATATGCCGTTGATCAGATCTCGTGGTCAACAAATTCAACGGCCTCCATAAGATTTAGCCATCCACATGATATTCACAGGCCCAAATGAAAATCCAGCTGGCAAGAGCTGTGCGGAACAAGCGAAACATAGCCAACTGTCATGAAAATGAAATAGAAACTATAAAGCAGTTTGTTTAAAAGGAAGCTTAATTATATTGAGGGACTTGACAACAATGCAACAAGAAAGTGTTTGCCAGAGCAGTGGCACTGCTATTGGGAGGGAATGTGGGATCTTATTATGACGCACCAAACATCTGATACTAGATTTTGATGGGAGAGCTATCAGACAAGCAGGTAGTTAAAGCTGTGATCAAGAAGCAACCTCCTCCCAAAATAAAATCATGATGCCTTTCTCTTCTTAATCGTAATCTGTCTATGTCATAACCAAAGCTGAATATTGAAGAGCGCTGCCCCCAAAAGGGAAAATAAAACCAAGATCACCAGTTACTCGGTAGATTTTACGGTGTTATCGTCAAACTATCACGTAATGTTATTAATCAATTAATATTATGGTAATTGTATTCATTTATTAACTGTATATTAAATTTATGAAATATCAATAATTCATCTCGTATTATAACTCTTGAATTAATAACACCACGTGACACTGATCCAACAGTTTCTCTTCTTGCTCACTTCCTCTAGTTAAGCTTCCAAAACAAGCAATTACAATATGATTTTGTGCCTCCGTAGCTAACCGCAAGTTGATCATGTTTGACAGCATGCATAAGCTGTCTCACCTCCTAACATCTTTAATTTCCTAATAAAGGGATAAATATGTAGAGCCATTAAGATTGAGTAACTTGGAACTCTCATGCACAATGATTTTGATATGATTAGAGATGTATCAATTTCTCAAAGTAATTGTTGGAAAGGAGATTAGCACTAATATTAATTTACCCTACAATATTATTGAACAACTTATCAAACCAGATTGAGCATATGAACTACTGAAAGTGAAAACCATGGCTTACATAGAAATAGACATTGGTCATACAATGTGATTGTGCCTAATGGTAAAAAAATAAATGTGACGGTAATTCAGTCATTTAAAGTGGATATTTGGGATTTGTAACATTTATTGCTGGTGTGCGACTGCGCACTGTGCATGTGACTACGGACTTGCTATTTGTAACTTCGTGTGTGAACACACAGAGAGTGAAAGTATCCCCTGCGGGTGCGTGTATCTTTAACATCATAATGCCCCCACATCTGGTGAGTTATAATGTTTCAGGGCCGTTTGATCAACTGCATCACAATCCAAAGGCTCAAATTAGCTGATGAAACAACTTCCTGCTCCACAGTCTTAACTGAATCGATTCCTCAATGACGAAACAGCCCCTACATAATTCAAAGAAGCTGGGATAAGAGTGAGGGCAGATCAAGTAAAAAACATGTAGCTACCTTGATCGTAAAGCTGATATGGCATTCGGTTAGCACTGTCTTCAAAACAGTTTTGGATTCGTTTTGCTCCTTCCCTTTCCCTCCAAATGCCTCCACCCATATCCCTGCGCCTATAAAACAAGCCCTGTACCGGAGCACCTCCATTCGTCACTCTTTTCACTCGAACCGATCGGAGGATCGAGAGCCTCCTCTGTTGCTTCTGAAGGTAAACCATTACTGTGCCTCTCTCTCTCTCTCTCTGTTTAACTATTTCTATAAATTACGATCCATCCAAACAGCTTTTGTAGTCTCTGCTTTAATGCTTTGTTCGATTTCTCATCAATTTGTTTGATATATCTTTTTATTTTCCTTCAAAATTATTGAAATCTGGATCTTCTCCCTTAGCTTAATTAGCTTGTTGTGGAGATTTAGAGCAGTACTTTGTAACATTCCAGAGTATCAAACGGAAGCTTCCAAGTAATTTTCTTGATTATAAAGCGAGATAGATTTCTTGTCTTTTTTTTTTCTAATTGAAGTTTTGTATTGTCTCTGTAATTCATTTACAGCAAAACTCCAACCGCGGAAATGCACAACGACACCGCCTCCTCCACCGCCAATGGCGGCCTCGCCACCTCATCGCAGTTCAAATCGCAGCCTCGCTCAGACGACGCCGTGTTCTCTTCCCTCTATTCCGCCATCTTCGATCGCAAGCCGTCCCTCGCTTGATACAACGAATCGGAGCCCGACGCGTCCTCTAATCATCCCCACCGCCAACTCTACCACTCTCTCCTCGTCCAAGACCACCAGGAGATGGTCAACCGCTGTTTCACAATCTAGAGTCTAGCCACTTGCAGATCTGGGTATGGGGCTTGGTGGTGGGGATATGGGG